GGGGGGGGGAAGAACGGGGAGGGAATAGAGTAGACCCCCCCCGTCTCTTACCGGGGCTGCCGCTCGGGGGTCTCTGGGTGGGGAGGGGCCTGAGCCGGTTTCTAGGGACCCGGAGCCGGGGCGGGCCACCGCCAGGAAGTGACGACAGAACTGGGCGGCTCACCGGAAGTAGCCTGGGAAAGGTCACGGAGACAGAATGGAGCCGGAGATTCGCAACGTGAGGCCACCCCCCACGTGACTGCCCTCTGCGCTAAGACCCCCCTCACCCCCAGAGTCTATGCCCTGTACAAACCCCCTCAGTAATACATCCCTATCCCCCCACTCCCACTGTATTTCACTTTGCCTTCATACTCCCCCAACTCCCAACATCAAACACTTACTCGGAAATGTACAGACAGCAGTGGCTGTGTTAGGGTGTGTGTTTTCACGGGGAGGGGGTAGATGGCATATATGGAGGGGTTTTGTTTCTGCTCCGCTCTGATCTTAATCTCCAGCTCGCTCTCTCTCTGTGTTTCAGCTGCGGGACTTCCTGTTGGTATATAACAAAATGACAGAAACCTGCTTCAACAAGTGTGTGACCAACCTCAACTACAGGAGCATCACATTGACTGAGGTAAATCCAAGCATGACCACCTGCACACATTATTGGAGGCATGTGATAGCCATGGAGAGGGTTTAAAGAAGATTTTACCAGGATGTTGCCTGAACTAGAGAGTTGTTACGAAAAGAGATTGGAAAGACTGGGGTTATTTTCCTTAGAGCAGAGGAGATTGAGAGGGGACATGGTTGACATGTATACGATAATGAGAGTCGTAAATACAGTAGACAGGAAGAAATTTTCCCTTTGATAGAGGGATCGATGAGCAGATGTGTAGATTTAAGGGAAGAGCCATAAGGTTTAGAGGTTATTTGAGGAAAAATATCACATAGAGGTTGATGGGAATCTGGAATTCACTGTCTGTAAGGATGGAAAGGGCAGAAACCTTCATAACATTGAAGAAGTATTTAGATGTGCACTTCTGATGCCAAGACAGGCAAGACAATGGGCGAAGTGGTAGATTAGAATAATTAGGTGACTGTTTTTGACTGGTGTAGACTTGATGGGCTGAAGAGCCTTTTTCTGTGCTGCAGACCTCTCTGACTCCGTAAACCTCATCACACAAATCAGGAGCAAGGGATCATTTTGACCCTCCTTCATGGCTCATATCATTACTCCACCCCCAGTAATCTTTCACCCTTTGATTAACCAGAGATCAAAAAGGGCTATTGCATCCACAAGCAAGAGACATAGCTCAGTGTTAGATGAATACTTTGCAGCTGTCTTTACTTACGGGGCAGGTGCTGCCCAGTACATGGTGACAGAGGCAAAATCTCTGTCACTGAAAGGGTTTAAGATTAATAAGGAGGTGGTATTCAAGACACTGTTGGCAGTGAGAAATCACCAGACCAGATGAGATGCATGGCAAAAATTTGCCAATGTTGCTCTGACAGCACCTTCCAAACCCATGACCACTTCCATACAGAAGGACAAGGGCAACAGATACAAAAACAAAGTAGCTGGAAAAGCTGCCAGACCTGCTGAGCTTTTCTAGCTACTTTGTTTTTGTTCCTAATTTACAGCATCCGCAGTTCTTTCAATTTTTATTAAGGGCAACAGATACATGGGAACACCATATCCTGCAAGTTCCCCTCCAAGCCACTCACCATCCTGACTTGGGAAAATATTGCCGTTCCTTTAGTGTCGCTGGGTCAGAATCCTGTAATTCCTTCCTTAAGGGGTTTTTGGGTCTAGCTACATCACATGGATTGCAGCAGTTCAAGAAGGCAGCACACCATAACCGTCTCGAGGAGCAAATATGGGTGGGCGATAAATCCTGGGTCCAGCTAGTGACACCCACACCTCCTAAGAGAATTAAAAAACAATGTATGCCAAGGATATGGAAGGGAAAGTGGAAATTGCAGAGATATTGGCAAATTACTAATGACCCTTTTAATGCGGCCTATTAATGTCTGTGCGATATGACACAGTTTGTTGATGGTATGCTATGGAACGGAATGTGCTTGAATATCTGTTTCCTCTCTTTCTAGGAGAATTGCATCAACAATTGTGCTGGTAAATTAATCCACACCAACCATCGGTTAATGAGTTCCTATGTCCAGCTCATGCCAACCATTGTTCAAAGAAGAATCTCTGACTATGAGGCAAAAGCTGCTGAGGTCGTGCAGCAATCAAATGTGAATCTGCCTGCATCAGAGGGCCAAAGTAACGTTGCTGAAATTGTACCAGGGGACTTGGAAAATTCTGTTATCCCTAACCCACTGAATCAGACTAACCCTGGCTCTCCCAACCAGAGTTAGTTACTTGCTCCCAGTGTCACCCGGCAGTAATTCTTTCACTTACTCTTACGTGCACAGATTGAGTGATTCCTTCCAACTTCCAGCGAATCAAACAGCATCAGTGGGAGCTGATGTGTAACAGAAAATCGACAGATCCAGCACAATATCTACACACTTGCCTGGCATTTTAAACAGGTAGTTGGACTTGTGTTGACAGAAGCTGGAGCCACAGATTTGGTGGAGTGTGATGTGGAATGGGCAAAACTGGGACTGACCACAACTATTAGACAGTGACAAGACTGGAAACCAAAGGTCATACTGACCAGAATAGCCAGAGTGTTTCACATTGGCTGTGAAAGTGAAAACGCAACTCCTGAATGCTGAACTGTTAACATCTTAAACCAAAAAGGAGCTCAGAGAGCCAAGGCATGGAACTGATTAAAGTTAGTTTCATTGAAAATGTTTCCTTGCTCTTCAGTGAATTAATATACATTTAAGTTACAGGTGGGACCCTTGTCAAATGACAGCACAATTCATTTCAGGGATGTTGTTTAAGAAATTGCAGGTAATGTTTCAGAATATTTTGTTATCTGAACTATCAGTTCAGGAGTCTGTTGTCTGCTTCAGGCCCCAAACACATGAATTATATCACCACCACTAAGAGTGTGGTCCCTCTGTGAGCGATGAGCTGTTTTACAGTAGTCTCTTTTTTTTATATGCAGATTTTTAAAGTTTTAAATTTTTTTAATGATAAAATTTTAGCACTATGGTGTCAGATAGTTGTGTCAATTGTACACAAGTTTGCGTGATATCTGTCTTGAGGGAGCAGGAGATAGTTTAAGCACGTGCTAAATGCTGACTGTTACTCCTGATGGGATTAGAATGTCTGTCTGGTCTGAGCTTGCATAATTAAGAGGCGTTAGTCCTTTTGTCTTTAAAGTTACTAACGTTAGTAGAAATAATAGACCTATATGATCTAAATAATTATACGTGTACTAAATAAAAATATAGAAGATGTTAAACTGATCTTCTACAGCTGGGTCATGGGATTCCATCTACTATTGTTGGTTTTTGATGGTTCCTACACATTTATTCATGCAGTTTCACAGAAGTGCTGTTTTGATAGTATGTTTCCTAAAGGGAGTAGCGGCCCTATTTAATACATATTTAAAAAGTATAAATCTGTATGTTAGTACAAGATGGTAGTCCAAACTAAAAGTTAGAAATAGGTTGTACAATGTTATAGAAATAGTGTATAAGGAAATTTCAAAGAGATAAAAAGCAACAGACTGTCGGGACGTGCTGGTGGAGGAAACTGATGTCCTGCAACCTATTTAGGTCCTGAGAGACGGTTACTAAGGGCTAATTAACATTTTCATCTTTCCGTAGTTTCGAGTGAGTTAATGGAGACAAGGTGGTGGGGATGGCATTCTTGTGAGTAGGTTACAGTATTAACACACTTATTCAGGGATAGCCTTTGATACAGAAACAAGTCTAAATACTGCTTGCAGCATGGGACTGATGAGAATTTAAAGGTGTAAAGAAACAGTAATGGGTTGGCAGCCATGGAAGGGATGTTTAATTTAGCTTATCTTGTAAGAGTAATATGTACTTCAGAAACACAGTTTTATGAATGAATGGAAACGCGGTATAGTAAACATAGTAAAGAGAATCATAATATAATATCTCTCAGTCCCCCACTTTTGATTCTACTGAGACCCTTCATTGAGAATCACTCAATTCTTATCATAACTCAAATATACCACTTGGGTCTTTTAGATATTAGAGGGGCTTGCAGAGACATGATGCATAATTAAGGATGGTTCATACTTTTAATAGCTTGTTGGCAACTTCACTTTATAAAAAAGAAGAAAACAACATACACAGCTAGAATAACAATAATAAACATTGTCGGTCCCTGTACAATGGAGGTCCCTAAAGTTCCCAGCCATCCTGTAGCACAATTCCACAAAGTAGAGTGTCATTATAGGCAGCGAACCGGGTGATAACCTTGGGATACCATTGCACAGAGAAGGTGCCTCCACTTGTACCCCTAACAAAATCAGTCAGCAGACTGGATGAGCCTGTGATGTTGAAATAGCGAGAGCAATTGCTTTACCCCATCTCTTGTCGCCCCTTTGGAAGAGTTGACAAAACACACAGACCCTTGTGGTCTTCACCAATTTGAGGTATTAGTGAGGGCCAGGAATGGAGGATTGTGGGTACGATCCTAGCTGGGCTGGTACCACCCAGAGAAGTGGGTCAGGGGACAGCTTGCAGATCCCAAGGCTTCAATACTTCCTGTCATGTTTAGAGAACTGAGTTCCCCCCTTTTGGGTTATGTACATTAGCGTATCTGGAGAGGGATGGGATGTGAAATTTTGATAGATATACCACTCTGCCATTTCAGGTTCCGAAAAGGGTCTAGGGTAGAATGGGATTCCCCCATTACAGTGAATGGGAATGTGGGAACATATCCAACACTGACAGGTTAGAAGCTTTGCCTTAGGTATAAGCCATATAGAGATAAGTATTTACATGTAACTCTGAATATCCCGATATTGCAGTTTTTATACTAACCCTAATTGAGAATGGTCAGTCAGTCTCTGGTCCCGATGTACTGTAGGATGCCTGTTTGATGTGGGACGCATGAATCCAGTTCTCCTTTCCTCGGACCTTGACAGCTGTTTGGGTGATCAGCAGCACCTGGAATGGTCCTTCGATGTAAATTGTCCCATTGGGAACACCCAGCATGGGTTCATGAAGGGTAGGTCATATTTAACTAATTTGGTGGAATTCTTTGAGGACATTACTCGCATGGTGGACAATGGGGAACCTGTGAATGTGGTGTATCTGAATTTCCAGAAGGCATTTGACAAGGTGCCACACCAAAGGCTACTACATAAGATAAAGTTCCACGGTATTACTGGCATGGATAGAGGATTGGTTGACCAGTAGAAAGCAAAGAGTATGGGTAAATGGGTGTTTTTCTGGTTGGCCATCAGTGGCTAGTGGTGTGCCTCAGGGATCAGTGTTGGGACCGCAATTGTTTACAATTTACATAGATGATTTGGAGTTGAGGACTAAGTGTGGTGTGTCAAAATTTGCAGATGACACTAAGGTGAGTGGTAGAGCAAAGTGTGCAGAAGACACTGAAAGTCTGCAGAGGGATATAGATAGTCTAAGTGAGTGGGCAAAGGTCTGGCAGATGGAGTACAATGTTGATAAGTGTGAGGTCATCCATTTTGGTACGAATAACAGGAAAATGGACTATGTTTTAAATGGTAAAAAATTGCAGCACGCTGCTGTGCAGAGGGACTTGGGTGTCCTTGTGCATGAATCGCTAAAAGTAGGATTGCAGGTGCAGCAGGTAATTAAAAAGGCAAATGGAATTTTATCTGCCATTGCTCGAGGGATGGAGTTGAAAAACAGGGAGGCTATGCTGCAGCTGTATAGGGTCCTGGTGAGGCCACACCTGGAGTACAGTTTTGGTCTCCTTACTTGAGAAGAGATATACTAGCACTGGAGGGGGGTGCAGAGGAGATTCACTCGGTTGATTCCAGAGTTGAGAGGGTTGGGTTATGAGGAGAGACTGAGTAGACTGGGATTATACTCATTGGAATTCAGAAGAATGAGGGGAGATCTTATAGAAACATATAAGATTATGAAGGGAATAGATAAGGTGGAGGCAGGGAGGTTGTTTCCGCTAGCAGGTGAAACTAGGACTAGAGGGCATCGCCTCAAAATAAAGGGAAGCAGATGTAGGACTGAGATCAGGAGGAACTTCTTCACCCAAAGGGTTATGAATCTGTGGAATTCCCTGCCCAGTGAAGCGGTTGAAGCTACTTCGCTGAATGTTTTTAAGGCAAGGCTAGATAAATTTTTGAACAGTAAAGGAATTAAGGGTTATGGTGAGTGGGTGGGTGAGTGGAGCTGAGTCTCAAAAAGATCAGCCATGATCTTATTAAATGGCAGGGCAGGCTCGAGGGGCCAGATGGCCTACTCCTGCTCCTAGTTCTTATGTTCTTATGTTCCCACTTTGCGCCTCAGGGTTCCTTGTGAATCTTTTTCACAAGAGCCCACTCACCTGGTACAATGTTGTGATCTCCCTCCAGCGGATCCTTCCAGGAAGTCGATATCTGTGAGGAGGCAGAACTTACAGTATCTGTTAGTGCTTGGCAGTAAGACAATAGGGGGTCACTCATGTGATCACAGTCGGCCCTCCATAGGTCTATTGTCCCGGGTAGGGATGTTGGCTTGCTGCCTGTGATTGTTTCAAATGGACTCAGCAGGTGTGATTGGAGGCAGATCGTTTGGCTACCTGGGCTTCCATGGTTAGTGTGGGCTTCACACTTTAATATGGCCACTTCTTTGAGAGCCTCCAGCAAGTCCCTGACTTCTTTCCCATTTCTGATGGGAGTACCTGCAGCCATTAGGGATCCACGTTTCCATAGCTGGCCAAAGTCGTGGGCAACTCAAAAAGCATAGTGGGAGTCTGTAAATGTCAGCAGACTGAACCTCTGCTATTCTGCAGGCTTCATCAGAGCCCATAATTCTATTTGCTGTGCCAGTGCACTGGGGAGGGGGGAGGGTGGGTAGGCTTCACCATGTCATGACAGTGTGGAATGTCGTGACAGCCCATCTGGCTTTCCTTATATCATTTTCCATGAAAGAGGATCCGTCGGTGTAACGTATGAGGTCTGGGTTTTACAAAGCCTCATTCATTGTTTGGTTATTGTCCTCCAATTCCTACAGGATACCAGCACAATCACGGTCATCTCCTTCCCCTTCTGCAGGCACCGGTAATAGTGTAAGAACTGCGGATGCTGTAAATCAGGAACAAAAACAGAAGTTGCTGAAAAAGCTCAGCAGGTCTGGCAGCATCTATGAAGAAAAAAATCAGAGTTAACGTTTCGGGTCCAGTTCTGGGCTTATACAGTAACTTGTTTTTGTACCAGTAATAGTGTGGCTGGTTTGACTGAGCTCGCACAAAATATTTATAGATTAGGGGCTTCTAGGACGGCTGTCCTTCAAGTCCACCGGGCAGCATTTACCCGGGATACTCTGAAAAGTGCAAAGAGCAAAGTGTGTATGGCATGCGTATGCCATATCTATGACTGAGAACCACTTGTGGTCTGGTGTTAAGGCACTGAATAAAGTAGAGGGGTCTGCTAGTAGTGAGACCTTTTGATGCATTGATTGGCTTTCCTGTGATCCATAGTTAATCTCCACTCCCCACTTGCCTTTCCCATGGGTCACACTAGACTGTTAGAGCTGCTGTGGATTTTTACCAAAATCCCTTTTTCCTCTAATCTCTGAATTATTGGGAGATTCCTGCAATAGACGTCGGGCTGATGGGGTACTGTTTAGTGCAAGGTGGAGGTGCTCCTGTAAAAGTCGTGGGTTCTATTTGCAGTGACCCACAGTCGTCCTTATCTTTAGCCCAGATGGGGTGGTCTT